CCCCCCCCCCCCCCCCCCCCCCAAGCCAACGGGTACTGCTACCCTCTTCCGCAGCCCCTTCGAGGACGCCGGTGACGCAAAGACAAATGTCGACGCGCGGCGGGTAACATGGTCATCGTGATTCATCATCAGCAGCATTTGGAGCTAGAGGATGCGCTGCTACCGCCTCCGCCCAGGTTCACGGTGGAATTGTCCACCTGCGTTGCGGCTCGTGCTTCCCTGAACAAAAAAAAAAAAAAAGAGGACGACAAGAATGACGAAGAGACCGACGGTCGGAGACAAGGAGCATCGGGGTACGGTTACGATTGGAACAGACGATCGAAAGGGTCACAACGACGGCGTTCCTTCAACGTACGTATGGCGGGATAAACAAAATGCTAGTGACATTAATAATATAACGCCTGCCTGGTTCACGGTCGAGCTTCTCCGAAGCTATCACCAAGAACGCCTCTCTCTGTGCGTGTCCTTGGCGTCGCAGGACACAAGTAATATGCTATCTCCGCGCTCTTTTCTGACACATTTTCCGTTGTTCCCTTCGAGACAAGTTACAACACATCCCTTGTCTTGAGGTACACCCTGCTTGTATTGTTTTGTGTAACGGGGACGTCGCTACGGTCAAGGCGGTACATATTACACCCAACAAATAATGCCCCCCCGTCATGAGTGCCTATATATGCGTGCCCAAAACTGAAAAAAATTACCCAAATCAAAACCAAACAGCACCCCAAATAAAAAACACACTACTCCTACATTATATAGGTGATCATCTCGCATAGCGTGTATCGAGCGGAGTGTCCTCGACTATCTGTCCTTCATTTCTGTTGTTGCGGACCCTTCGGGTCCGCTATATTTCCGCATACCCTCTGTTGGGTAAGTAAGTATAATAACACACGCGCAAACCACAAAGAGGGCAAACGTGTGCTATTGCTGTGGCTTCACGGCTCCAAACAAGACGCACGCATGCGGCGGACGCAAAATGTGCACATGCACCTGATACGGATGACCTCCGACGCCTAATACATGCTTCATCTATTGGCAGACTGTTCAAAACGAATCTGGTGCTGATAAGCTCCGAGAATAACACACCCTTCATCCAAATGGCGTATGCGTCGTGCAAGAAAAACCTGGTGCGGATAAGCTCGGAGGCCAACACCCTCTTCGTCCAACGACATACGCGCTGTTTAAAACAGACCTGGTGCGGATAACCTCTGCGGCCAATACATAATACACAACCACGCCTGACGGCATGTACGCTGTTTCAAACCTGGTGCGGATAAGCTCGGAGGCCATGGTGAGGAACGCCTCCTCAACGTTGGAGGCGCTCTTGGCGCTCGTCTCCAAGAAGGGGATGCCCAACGACTCCGCGTACTCCTTCGCCGCCGCGCTGTCCACCACCTTATCCTCTCGGTCGCTCTTGTTTCCTGGTATTGCGTTCCGGTGTGTGCGGCGTCGCGGTGTGGATGGAATGGATGGCGGAAAAGCAACACGCGAACATCACATCTACTACGTATATGTGTGCAAGCGATCCCTCCAGAGCGGGACATAGAGAGCACAGCAGTGCTATCAGAAGGGGCGACGATCCAACATGAACACAAAAGCAGGCACCACAACCAACCCACAGCTGGCTGCCAGCTGCCATAATGACGCTTCCCAAGCTCAATCGCTCACACAGCTGCTGACGAGGTTTTGACTCGAAGAGCGCAGCAAAATTCAACGAACCAAAGAAAAAATGTACAAATCTGTATACAGTCTTGCATGCAACTGCTTCGTGTTGATGTATGATGTGGGATGGGATGGACACGAACGGAGCAACGACAACAACGGCGACGTGGGGCCGTAGGGTTCAAAACACTTCACAGTAACACCCACCCCTCCCCCCATCATACACCCCTCACCTATGAGCAGCTTGCTTGTGCCCTCGCTAGCGTAGCGGTTCACCTCACTCAGCCAATCGTTCACGTGGTCGAATGATTCCTATTGGCGTGCGAGACCCCACGTAAGGTAGCAGTAGCAGCAGCAGCAGCAGCAGCAGCATGAGGAACTTCACTAAGATGCGCAAATGTGCGATTGGTCACATCAACGTGTGCGTTGATTGGTGGAGTGTAGGAGCACCGCAAGCGACTTCAATCTCCAGTTTCAAGTTTACTTCTGGCAAAACCACTGAGATGAGCATCTGCCTTCCACAAAAAATCACGTACTCTTGCAGAACATTCTCTGTTCCGATGCTTAGTTCCATGTCTGCGGTTTTTGGTCGAACGCGTTGGTACCACTATGCTGCAGTCCTATTTCCATGCGAAACAGTCCAAGCATGCCGACGTTGTACATGCATCATACACAGGCCGGCCAAGGCAGCGAAGGGCTTAAAAAAAGACTACGGTGGTCGAGAAAAGGCCGCTCGCGGAGGTTGTCATTTCACATTTCAACGTGATGTTGCCATTCTCTCCTCCGAAGCCTCCTCATTTGAAATGGTCACCTTGGGCTTAGGTCAAGACGCGAACGCTGCAGGACGCTCATAATTGCAAAACCTCGCACAACAATAACACAGAATGATGCGAAATTCGCCAATACATGCACTTGGCGCACGCGCCCTTGCGTCCAATCTGGCCGAAGTTCGGTTGGAAATAACCCACGCCCACGTACAGTTAAGCTACCGTTCCCGCGAAGCATTTGCAGCATCCGTAGCCCCCTCGTGGGTAACAGGCCCCAACGAGACGGAAGGCGCGCTTTTTTTCGGTTTGTTTGTGGTACTTGGGCACTAAATCCGATCTGGGAACTACGTGTGCGTGGGGGGTCTGCTGTTGGGGGTCCAAGTGCGCCACCTCCAAGAGAGAGCACGCACAGGCCTACTCATTGTCTCCTTGTTTGTGCTGTGTTTTTCCATGTGCTGGAACGAGTACGGGGTCTCATCTTGATCAAGCAAAAGGTCTGCATCACCATCGTTTCGGTCCTGGGTTTTAACATACCTAAACAGTCCCAATATCCGACCCCCCAGCTCCGCGGTAGGCGCGGAGTGCACCAACAACGTGATCGCTTTCGCTCCTACCTGCCCGGTGACGTCATACACCATGATGATCCCGTCCGCACCCCTGTAGTAGGCCGATGTTATCGTCCGGAAGCGTTCCTGCCCTGCGGTGTCCCACTGGACCGACCAACCGCGGGAAGTAAAATGGCGCAACAGGAGGCAGACGGGAAGCAAAACACACGCGACGACCACAAACGAGCCACGCGCGCGGCGTTTACGAAAAGCAGTTCGGCTTGCACGTTGTGGTGGCAAAATGGCGTCCATTACGGGAGCCAGGCAGATATCGCCCCTCCGGCCGTATTAGTGTCTACCACAGCACTTATTGGGACACGATAGACATGCTTCGAATACGCAAAATGCTGCGAGTATGCAACATGCCTCTCGAATATCAGCTCCACCCGCCAAGCTCGCCCAAACCCAAATTCCAACATTGACATCCCAAACCATGGCCGCTTTCCCGCTCCAGTAGAACACCTGACAGTGTCGCGTTCCACGCCTCCATACCAAGCACCCGTCGCAAACAGGGCAATACGGAGCTACACAAAGCGGGGCGAGAGCAAGGCCTAACCCTGACCCTGCCCCTGATGCGGTCAGACCACGAAACACGTGAGGTGCCTCATCAAAACCACCCGGCAGCAAAAGCCAGCAGCATCCATCGCGACCGGTAAAGTCAGTCACCCTGTGGCACCCTGAACCTGAACTTGAACATAAAACCATTCACTCGTGCTCACAATCTGTAGCTTGACTGTCTTCTTATCGATCTTCACCGTTCGGAAACGCTGCACGGGAAAAAGGATACGGACGTTTTCGGTGAAAATCGAAAGAAAGGTTAGGGTGCGGTGGGCGGAAGGATCGATGCTGTGACCGAAAGGAGTGGGGGAGGGAAATTCGCCATGTGATTTGGGACGCGAGAGCTAACAGCACTCCACGGGGATAGACGAGCCGAGGCGTGACAACATGGCGGCGCTCTAGCCACCAGCCCCATGGCCCTTTCATCAACTTCAGGCACTTAGTCGCAGAACAAAGCACGCCCTCGAAATGGATCAAGAGTACTGTGCTCCTCAAGGGATGCTCTCGAAAACTATTGCGGGTGGATGGTCGCTCTATCCACCGCCGTTACGGCTGTTTCGTCCGCTCGCTTCCACCAGGCAAGAAAGCCTCGTCCCATTCAAAGCCCGGCGGTCCGCTTTCGCAAAAACCAAACAGCGGCCGCGCTCTATCCTCCTGCCTGTCCCTTGCGAGGTCTCTTGCCTTTGCTGCACTTAACCTCATATTTGATCTAATGTCACCTGGGCTTTTCCTTCGAAACGACTGTCTAGTTCCCCTCAAAGGCTTATTTTTTGCCCTGAATATTCTGTGGGTGCCGCTGTGCATCATCCAAGACGTACTCTCTCACGAAGGTCACGAACGCTTCTACTGAACTAGCGCCCTTGTTTCCTCGACTGCCGCAGGCATCAAAAATTACACCGACAGGACTCACAAAGTCTACCCCGATGGTGCTGATGTAGCTGTCCGTGAACGCATCATCAGCGAAACGCAGCAGCAGGCACGACTTGCCCACGCCGGAATCGCCGATCAGGACGAGTTTGAAAAGGTGATCGCTGCACCGAAAAAAACGCAGAGACACGAGAGCAAACGACAGCAGACAGGGGGAGGGGTCGTGCAGCAGTTAGCGGTGCCGTACAGAGGGCGGTGATTCGGTTATGGCAAGAGCACCACCGGCCGGGCGGCCAGCGGCGCGGAACTTGACAGTAACGGGTCCACAAGGTCGACCGAGAGGGCTCCGCAGCAAGCGGGTTGGCTAGGGGGGGGGTACCAAACGCTGCAACCTTGGGGTTTGGCGTGAAGGGGACATAGGCCTGGAACTTTGATGGCAAAGTGACTACCATTTTTACTGCTGCGCGAGCTAAACGCCTTTGCCAACAGCACTTGTTGCCCAAAAGATAACAAGGTGGCCGGCCCAGGTCGTGCCGATGGCGGAAGCTCTGCGTGTTCCGGTACTCGGGTTGTCAAAGCGCAGACCAAGTGGCGGTACATATCGTCTTGGTGAATTTGTGAACAACCAAGGAAAGGCGTGCGATACCCCAGGTCTGCTTCCGAGAAGGCACAGCAGCTGTGTTCAGGGAACGGTGCGCTACCTACGGATTCGACTTTTAAAAGTGTATTTGGGCTATAGCACCATGTTCACGAAAAGCGACATGGACTAAATAGCGTTTCGAAAAAGTAGGCAGGCACACGCGTTCTTGGGGTCTGTAAGCACCGCAAGGGGCAAACACGAACCAGGCATCGCGCTAGCAGCATGCCGGCCTCCTTGTTTTCTTTGGGTGGCTACCTGCTTCAGCCTTGACATTGGCCACCATGCGCCTTGATACGAAGTCAATGCGTCCTCTCTTCTTGCACACAACACAGAAGCAAATCTAGATGCCCCTCAGCCAATACTGCCGATGGGCACTTAGATTCCTTCCATTCATATTGGCGAAGTGCACGGAAACAAAGAGGAAGGATCTGGTCGGTGGCCAAGCTATACTTGTAGACTCCTCGCGAGAAAGGTGGAGCTTTGTGGCAAGAGGCGAATATACAGCAGCAGACTACGTCGCCAACGTGTTCCACAACAGACGGACCCACTCAGTGCCAAAACAACTCTCGTGCATATGATACACGCCGAGCTATTCTAAACGCTGCCCCCCCCGTTGCGGTCAAGACGTATGGATGCATACACCACCAGATACCATGCAGAGAGTTCTTCGCTCGTTATTCATCAGACACCCATAGCATACGATGCTACACTACGATCCTACGTTGTGTATAGATTATACCAGATACTGCATACCCAAAGCAGTACTGCTGTACTCAAGGTTTGCCTTCACGTCGGCACGTAGATGCGTTCCCTACTTGGTTTGCTACTACTACTGCTGTCCCTCATTGGCAAATGAGATGCACTCTCCTGATCTGCCCTTTGGGTTTCAGTTGTACTCCAGGAGGTACCTGCGCCTTCACCCACCACCAAGTGGCAGCAAGATTCTCAAAAGGCAAGGACATCGACGCCAAGCGACTGGGGTTGGTTCGCGCTGTTATTGTACAATCTCGGGCGGCGCCTCCCCTTTGTCTCTACTTGCACTAGCACGCGAGATGTTAATGCACGAAGAGGACAGACGGTTGCCGTGCATCACACAGCCTTAAGCACGCGCGCGCGTGCCGTGTTTTCTGTAGACCTTTTGCTTATCCCCCCCTACCCCCCGACTTTCGAGATAAAACCTCCTGCTGCGCGACAGAAGACCCCAGTGCGCGCGTGTGTGCAAACACGGCAGAGGCACCAGCAGCAGCCAGCAGCACCCGGGACTGACATACTTTGCGAACAATAACCATTGGATTCGCCACACGCACACGCACGCACCCCTAGCAGAACAACAACGCGCCACTTGCCGAGACACCACGGCAGCAGATGGCTGCTGCTCTGTCTGTGAGGAGGCAGCTGCTGTAGGCAGGCCGAGGAGCGTGCTATTGTACAGACACATTTGTTATTCTTTCATATGTAGGGGGAAACAAGCGATGAAGAGGCCGACGGGGCGGTCGAACCGAAACTAGCACACGCCGGGCCGGTTTGCCGTGCATCACACGGCCCCCACAGGCGAACAACCTGGTTGCGACGACGTAGCCCTCCAAAACTGCGCAAGTTTCATCTGCTCGATCACACGGCTTGGTAGGTGTACTTTGCTGAGAGAGCACGGAAACCAGGCCTAAAATCTGCTGCTGCTGCTGCTGCTGTGGAACAACTCACTAGTCGCGCTTCGACATGACGATAATCTGTGGCTTCCACGAGCAACTCCCTCTCCGGCAAAGCTAGCGCCTCTGTCCTTGTGAAATGCTCTTTCGCCTGCCGATGGGTGTTGTTCGCACGTTGACCCCTCTGCGTGTCTAGCTCTCAACGGCGGCACTGCTGTGTCGAGGTCGTGTCAGCACACCTCCGCCTTTTTCCCCGTCAAACTGCTGTGAAAACCATTTTATCGCTCTTGTCAGAGGTGTTCTGCGCGCTTCCAGCGGTTTTTTATTTCCGCCGCACTTTTTGCAGCAGAGACCTACAGGCGTCGCACACACTCCAGGAGCCTCAGCCCAGCCGCTCGCTGAGACCACAAAACTGGTTCGCGTGACGTGTCTGCAAACTGCTGTCCAATCAACAGCTATCAAATAGAACCATTTTAGCGATTGAAGACCCCTTCGAAAAATTGGTAACATGCTGATATGTACTGCCTGCAGGTAGCGGTTGCAGTGCTACGTTGTGTGCCGAATGCATGGAACACCGGCAACGAGCTCGCTGGAGAAATAATGGAGGAGTGGGAGGACGGGACCGAGGAAGAGGATGAGTTTGCGTATGTTCACTACGCTCAAACGGCGAAGAGGAGACGACTACAGCAGCAGGTTGAAGAAGGCGGCGGGGCTGCAGCGGCGGGCGACGTGCCGCAGCCGCACCAGCAGCAGCAGGAGGGCAGCAGTAGCAGCACCGACGCCTTTCGCGGCCACCACTGCCCCATATGCTTGGGTCTTGTCGAGGATTCGGCGATGATCGGGTCGTGCCGGCACTTGTATTGCAAAGTGTGCTTGTTTGAGGTAAGGTCGTGGAATCAACAGGCAGCAGGTAGTACTGGTTTGTTGAATTCATGGGGTACTGCTGAACCGATTCAAACGGAAGAGATGTTTACATGGGAAAATATGGAAATATCTGGTACGCGGTGTCCTTCAGAGCGGGCGGAGCACTTTGGAAGCGCCCTAATATTTAGCGTGTGACTCCATGCGTATGTACGATCATGCAGCGAGCGCTGGGTACAATCCGAAAATGGAGGATAAGACATCAGTCTGGGACCTCCCAGCGGAGGGGTTGAGCAGCACCACAGACACAGAGCAGCTTTCAACGACGGGCTGTGCTCAGCTGAAGCCACATCGTTATTAGGCCCGATGTCGACCCACGCATGTGTGCTACAGAGAAAAATGCTTTGAGACAAGCATGGGATACGTAGAAACCTCCGAGGCTCGACCAAGAACAACTCAGGCCAAAACGCAGCTTGAAACTGAGCGAAGGGTCTTTCTACAATCGACCTCAGAAGGTGATGCCACTGGTGCTGTATCATCCCTTCACTACAGCAGGACATTTTATCTGAGAAGATTTGTCTTGAACATCATTGTTGCACCCAACATGAGGTGGGATAGACGCAATTCATCCCCTTCTGCCGTACGCAGCGCACGAACTGGAGATGCTTTCTGGTAGAGTCGTACGCCATTACCTACTGTAACGATATACGTCGCCCACTCGTATGCCCCGAGAATGAAGGAACTAACGAACCAACGCCTCGGGGTCGCCGTACCTGCATCGTTTTCTCCGGCATCACAAAGTGGCTCATTCCCCTTCTCCCCCTCCGCCCGTTCCACGTGCACCTCCTTCCCCCTTCGCAACCAAAAACGCCTGCCGCCTACCTGCATACAACCTATGCAGTGGCTCAAGGCCTCCGATCGGTGCCCCCTATGCAAGGTCACCGTCTCACGAGTACTCCACGAGATCAAGTCTCCCAAGGACTACGAGATTCACACGCATCTCGCTGTCAAGGAACGTGGCGGGGGGAACGCGGAGGGGTCTTTGCCGTCGCCTCCGGCAGCGGGCGGCACTGCGGCCGAGACATCTGGGCGCGGCGGGGGGGTAGACGAGGGCGCGGGAGCGAGTTGGGGTGCCGCGGTTGTTGACGGCAAGAAGGGACCCGAGTTCCGGTCCCTGGTGTACAGAAGGGGATTGGCGGCGGAGCCCCCCGAAGAGAAAGCGAGGTACGTCTCGTGACCTCAAGACCAAATTGCTACGATGCTGTGGTGGGATCCATCCGCTGGGTTTACCACAAGTCTCGTCTGTTCGAGACCCAATAATTTTGTCATCTTGAACGAACGAGGACAACGGGGGCTGGGCACAGCCCCTCTGCTACATGGTAGTGGTTCGTATCTACATGTTTTAACTGGGTGAGCTCGCTATACGATGTAAACCAAGAACGTTGCGTATTTTTTTCGGCGGCTTTGAACCCGCATCAACAGTAGTGTCAACCGCAGAACCTTCTGGGTTATTCCGATGCCTGAAGGGTTCAAAGTGCAAAGGCGCTAACACCACAATGCCGCCTACGTCTTCCACTCGCTTTGCAGGCGGCCAAAGCCCCTGGACCAGCTTCGATCGTGGATCGCCAGGGACGTTCAAGCGGCGGCTCCGGGCACCAGGGGCGAGGGGGAGATGGACACTCGGTTGGTGGAGGATATCGTGAGGGCGCTGCTGAAGGAAAACGATGTTGACACACAAGACGGCTACTGCACCGTTAAGGAGCAGGTTGGCGAAGTTGTATTTACCTTTGGTGTCAATTTTTGTCGAGGCGATTGAGGAACGGGTCCGCATTGTGTTGGAACTCCCCCTACCGCCGCCGCCGCCGCCGCGGCCTTGCACAGCAGACAGTCTCTTGTGTTCAGAACCGTCTCCTCCCTAAACGTGCTCGTGTAGGTTGGGTTTGGGACAGCAGGTGAAACAATGTATTTCTCGTTGTCTTAACCCCGCCCTTTGTTACCTATGAGCTCACGCTTGCCTGGTGTTGCGTGGTACTGCGCGCAAGCTATGTTACGCAGTATGCGAAATGACCCTGTACCCGATGCGTGAAATGAACGCTCTGTTGCTTCCGACAACGCGGCCTACCATGCCGAACGAACTGACCGCACGTTGCCAATTTGTTCAGAGGGCCCTTTCTTCGAGGGTCATATGATTCGTGTCGTGCTTTCTCTGTGAGATGTTGCGGGCGGTCCTTCGCGCTGTGTGTCACTGCTGGCATTCGTGCCGCTCAGAGCCCGCGATGAATAGGTGCACATCCTCCGTCCCGCCACCTCCCTCCAGATGTCATTGTTTGCCGCCCCTTCTTTCGCGCTAGCCACACGAAGTACTGGTTGATTTCGCGTGCCCACCCCGCCAACCTGTTGTCCTCCGTCGACTGTTCGTGTGTGCTGTTCGTTTTCTTATATATTTTTCATGTCCTAAAGTTGCAGGGCTTCTTGTTCGAGAACACCGCGCCCTTTCTGCACGAGTTGTGGTGCTTCAGGTGGAGCAAGGCCCGCATGCCTGCTTACGATCGTGAAGCGGTGTACAGGCCGAGACCGACACAGGGATGACGACTGACATAACGTGGCATCGTTGCTTTGTATGTCGAGCCAAGCGTAACTGTCCTCATAATTCTAGGGTTGGGACCAAGAGATAAATTATGGCTCCTCACGGGGAAGAGGAGAGCGCTTTCACCGACCAAGATTCAGCAGTCAGGTCTCCAAGCGAAGTCCGTCAAGGCCTTGGTGCAAAAAAGGTGCGCCGAACCCATATAGCTTTTCCTCGTCCTGCGGCAGTGAATAGTTTGCGACATATTAAGTGTGGATGAACGTAGGTGAGCGAGCGTAAGTCCCGTCGCGATGATGATGGTCGAGGGGGGTCTCACGCAGCGAGCTGTTGCTTCGGGTACCATATGTCGCCAAACAGTACCGGAATGTGGACATTTCTGTATCTATATAACAACACTTTGGTGTGTAGGACTACAACCTTCGCGGGCCACTCTAGGAGAAGGTATCTCTCTCTACTACTGATGTGCCTCTCTCGGGTCGGCTGGCGTATAACTTGTTCTGTCCAAGCCCGAGGACTCGCTTGTTGAGATTTTGTTTTATATCCAAGATCACAAACCGTTGCCGACATCCACACGACGTTTTCGCTCCCGACCGCCGTGTGCTAACCCGTAGGTTTGAGATTGGTTGAAACCAGTTCGCCGGAGGACGAAGTACAACGCCTCATCTTGGTGTTTTGAGGGGGTCGACCCTCCGTGGAAAACGACTGTGGCCAGGAACATCAGGACACACTGCGAACTCTTGTGCTCCGTTTTCTTCGACCTCTTGCGTGGCGTAACCTAGGTGGTCTCAGAATCGCGGGAATGTTTTGCATGAAATTGAGCAGCGTTTTCGTTTTTTCCGACACTAGCGATGGAAGGAACGAATGAAGTGATACTGCTGTGATACCGATACCGAGGTATGTAGTCGCAACTGATTGAAGGTGCCGTTCTGTATTGTCGAGGACTGATAATGCTCACATGTTGACCTTTCAAAGCACGTCTGTCTTGACGGGACGAAAAATTCGGTAACTGTTGGCGTGTTTGCTAGATTGCCATCTACCGTGCCACCCGCCCGACCAGTTTCTCTGTGTGTGCATTGATCGATCGGCATCATTGCCACCATCGATGCTTCGAGCTGCCTGTCACAATATCAAAATAGCGACGTGCAGCTTACCCTCAAATAGGAGTGTACACGAAATGGTTATCTTCTCTGGTCCTTGATAGGCAAGTGGACGGTATTCCACCGTGCGTGGCTGTCGATGTGAAGTTCCATATGTTGTGCAACGTACGCGATGAGGGAATGATGAATGCATGCATGGCACGCAATGATGTGGGTTTACCCTTCTTTTTTCCTGGAAGGGTCCGCAAGTTGTGCTCGCGGCGTATGCCTACCGGCAACACACACAACGCTCGAGAGCGATTGGTCGCGCCTGCGTCAATTTTCATGTTGAATCGGCTCGTCGAGGAGGATGCACCTCAAGAATAAAGAACCTCCTTCCGCAGGCAACCTAGAAGGCTTCGCCTTGATTGGAAATAGCTTCAGGGGTTGCCCTCTTTTTTAGGCGGTGCCGGCGCACATACACACGTGCGAACAGACCAACATCCCCTCTTCAGAAGTATCTCCTTCTGATATGCGCCCGTATCTTACTCTACGCTCGCTTCGGCCTCCCTGCCGATCAGTCTTTGCAAGTGTTGACGGGCAACGTGGGGCAACACCAAAGACAACGGCCGCAGATCGTGCGAAAAGAATGGCGGAGAAGGACTATTTCCTCACGATTAAACAACGTGCATAGAACCAACTCCGTTCTGGAGAAACTATTCCGCATACAAGATTTTGTCCACGACGTGTACAAACACTCCGTTGCGGGCGATGAGATCCGTCTTGACCATGCGCGTTCGGCGTGCTGGCTTGGTTTCGCCGGAGACATAGGCCACCTTTCAATGAAACCAGCATGAAAAGAGAGCAGGTATGCTAGGGTGAAGTACACTATGATATCTCCTATGAGCTGCTCTCTCTCTGGAATTCCAAGGAAGCGCTGAGCGAGAAACGCAAGCAACGATGCTATACCTGCATGGCAGCTGAGGTATTCTGACATGACAAAAGCCGCACTTCGCGGAGTAGCGTTCATTAGAGCTCCACGCGAAATCACTGCTGGTGCGATCGAAACTATGGAAAACTTGTTTCGTTGCCCGCTTTCGTTTAGATTTACGTGTTTCAGCCATGACCTACGCACGTATTGAAGCACTTCCGACGCTTCGGTTGATACGTGCGATTATCTGTGCTCTTGCCATCTGTGCGCAGCGTCTACCAACCACATATTGCCTCGTACTTCACGTATAGCCTACATGAGTCATTGCCAGTCTAAACTACATATTGCGAATCATGGATTGCCTCGTCTCTGCCTATTGCGCGTGTCGTAGTTTCCTCACACACCATATGGCCCCCGATCTCGACGCGGAAGATTAGAGCGTGCTTTGGCTCCAGGCTCTGAGGCTGCACCCTACCCCCGTTGAAATTTACGAGTTCTGTTCTTTCAAGAGCATCGGCGCCGACAAACACAAAGTTTCGGCATCGGGTAGGGTTGTTTAGCTTTCGCGTTGAAAATGCACAGGATCGATAGATCGGAAACCCCGCACAGATTTGAGGTGATGCTGGTTGGAACAGACTTGGGATCGCTGTGTGGAGTGAGAGCATCACGTTCCAGGGATGCCGACCACAACCACTCTTCCATTGTGTTTTGTCCCTGAACAACATTACTTGTCTAACCGTGTTTTTGCTGCTCATTGACACCCACCTCCTATTTTATAGGCGCCGTCCATGATGTGTAATCCCCACGAAGAATCATCGAACGCGTCCGCTTAATGCATACAAGACGCCCAAGAACAACATCATGGGACGCCACAGAAACGAGGCCGGTTCCAACGGGAGACAGCGAGAGGTTGGGTATGCATGCACAGATATGTGGTGTATCACAGCGTGACAGTACGCTACATCGAGATAGATAGCGCGGGAGAAACGCTGCATCCATAATACCACAAGGAGGAACGGACGTGCGCAAATCACGGCGTAGTCGTGCCAAAATGGCGGTTCGTTAGACTGCTGTGTTTAGACTTGCATCAGTCCACATCTCGGATGCCCAGTATATACGCAGAGTGAAGGTGGCACGGCTCAACCGTACAATCTCGCTTTCGCTCGGCACCGCGCGCCTCTTGGTTGTAGCCGTGCGAACATTACTATGGTCTACTCGTCAATCTGTTGTCCCGAGATCATCCGAGGTTTGATTAATTTACCTTTCTCTTACTGCGCTTGCCCGCGCCTTGTGGTGTATTTGCACGTATGCATCGTCCTATTTAGGGTTTTGCATGTAATAACATTAAGCAGAGGTCACACCTGAAGGGAAGGCGCCGTCGTTCGGTGCGATAATGGTTATGCTATTTGCCCCCTCAATTTTTTCCGCTTTGCGCATGGCTTCGAGGAACAGGCGGCAACCCGCATTTTCCAGCACCTCTGCCAAAAGCGGTGGCGATGTCCGTATCCCATGCTCATACTCGGGGGACCCGTCTGTCAGGCGGTGCTGCGGACTTGGCATTCAGCCAAGCCAAGTCGAACATCAGGTGCTAACGAGCGAGCTGCTCCCGCGATATTGGCGTGGTGATTGGGAGATACACCGCTGATAGCAGCCGTGTTTGAGCTTGAGGGCTTGAGGGCGGTCCGCTGTCGAACGGTTTCGTTTTGAATCAGCCAATCCGAGCGGAGTTTAGATGGCAGCGAGGGACCAAGAACCAAAAAAGAACCCATTGGAGCCTGCTACCGTCGAGTGATCACCGCCCGCTAAACGCAGGGTAGCGCTACGTGCTGCAGTAGTCGCACAACGCTCGTCACACGGGGGGGTGAGCCTGGTCGCTTCGTACGCAAGCACCAGAGGTGGAATATGTGGGCATGTACATGTTCGATAACGACGCCTCCTGAACCTTCCTTGAAACCCTTTCTCGCTCACCCAACGAGAAAGAGCTGTAAAAAGCCCCTCAAAAAGCCAGCCTACACACCAAATCCGGAGCGGGAGCCAGCAGCACACAGACAACCAAACATGGACAAGAAAGGAAAAGGGTGGGACGGCCAGAAGGCCCAGTGGGTCGGGAGGCTGCGCCGCTCTGACGGGAAGATCACGGTCGGAGTCTGTGCTCGCGAGAAGAAAGCTCGATCCAAGCACATGGAGGCAATCACATCACGGCTCAACAAGGATAAGTTCGAGGTGCGGGCAGGGGTGTGCGTGTGGTCGAAGGCTGTCTTCTCTCTCCCCCCTCCCTCTGTCTTGCGGCCTAGGAGACCACCCAGCTCCCATGGTGGGTGGCTGGTGTGCCGCACTCTGTGGGCAGTACGGGGGCACAGAGAGGCACAGCAGCCAAATCTAGCTTTCTTTTCGTTGGACCGGTGTGGAAGGACCAGGGCACAGCAGCAGCGATGGCGTGTGTGTGGTCGGTTCTTATTGAAAGTTGACGTCGCCAGTTGCGTTCAAATCCCTGTACACTTAAAAAAGACTTTCTCTCGTTCGAGCAGCAAACACCACAATGCTGCGGGTGCAGCAGCAGCAGTATACGGACACGGCACCGTGTTGGTAGGCACCACGGCGGCGGGGGGCGAAACAGGTCTCCTCTCCACGAAGCAGCACCCAGCAGCGCTGCACCAGAGCATTTTACAACATGTGCTCAGTGACACTACCGCGGACCCGCTCTGGCAATCTACACCCTACAAACTTATCAAGTAGATGCAGAGTTGGGTGGGAGGTCTCCACTACAACCGTACAGCATTAGTCTCCTTTCTGCTGGAGACCCTCCATCGAGGAGGCCGCAGTGCTCTCCGGCAGGTCCACACGGGGGTTGACGCGCCAAGCGCGTTTGAATGGTGATGTAGATGTTAGCAAAGCCGCTCCTTTGCATGCAGCATGCATGCTGCTGTACACTACAATACTGCACAAGTACAGTACTGGGCCCGCTATAGTGCCGGTATGTGTCCAGATATAATATGGGCACTATTGAGGGCACCGGCACCAATCAGAATAGTGCCTCAATAGTGCCGATTCAGCACTATTGAGGTTTCGAATATCCCTCAATAGTGCCGGTCCGGCACTATTGAGGAGATGTTTGATTTCATGCTGTGGCGCTCATGCGTTGCAGGGCTAACAGAGTACGAAATGGATCAAACTTAGTGAAGGTCTTAATCGTGGGCGTAGGCATCCTTTCTCGCGACAAGTATGGTTCCCCCCTGTCGCACACACAGAGGACGAGTTGTGAAAAATATTTACTTCCATGTTGCACCGTTATTTCTGCCTGCCTCAGCACATGAACTGTACTGCACACCCTGAACTGTCGANTGAAGGTCTTAATCGTGGGCGTAGGCATCCTTTCTCGCGACAAGTATGGTTCCCCCCTGTCGCACACACAGAGGACGAGTTGTGAAAAATATTTACTTCCATGTTGCACCGTTATTTCTGCCTGCCTCAGCACATGAACTGTACTGCACACCCTGAACTGTCGAAACTGCTGTTGACGGCAAGATGCTTGTAAAGCTCCCGTTCGTACAGAGTGGACGTAGCTATATCTCAGCCCTAGAGCCCCTCCTTCGATGTTGCAAGATACAAAAGACAAAACAGAAAAAGAAACACGACAGGAAGCGCACTGCAAGAAAACAAAAATCATTACTACTGCACTACAGTTGTATCTCCCCCCCAAACTACGTCGCGACACTGGAGTGTCTGCCTGGCGTACCCGTTTCGATGTTGCAAGAAAAAAAAAAAAAAAGTACACGACAGGAAGCGAACCGCAAGAAAAAGAAACAACCATGAACTCTACGTCGCGACAAATCCTCTAATGTCTGCCTGGCGCACCCGCCTAGCGGAATGCGCTGCGATCATCGACATCTTCGCTTTCGTTAGGTAGAACGCCGCGTCTCCGTTGCCACTGTCCTCTGCTGCCACTTCCAGGGCGCCGAAGTG